TTTCGCGAGTGGAATCTCGGATCCTCTATCAATTCCGAAAATGAAATTGTTAACGATTCGGTATCACCCAGTTCGGGGAAAAGTTTCGTAAACGATAGCACTTTCCACCCCCCTTAAGCGAATTTGCCAATTTGTCGGAAAATTCATGTTTGCCATATTTTTTTGCGTACATTTCGCAGATGATTACTCCGCCTCAAGTGAAACTCGTTAAATCGTTAACGAACCGAACGTGTCCTTGAGTAGTTCAAGCGAGAACCCGATACTTCGGGTGAATTAAATAGATTTACACCGGCGTGGAGTCATTCCGGGGATAAATTACAGCGATGCGTAATGACGGCGTATATGCTCGTTAAATTGGAGTAAAGAATAGCCCTTGCCGTTTCACCTCGGTATTCGTACATTCCGGCTTTACCTCGGTCCTTGCCCAGAGCCAGGATCGCGTTTACGACTTCTCGAGCACCCCCTCGTCGTCTGGGAATCCTTTAACTGTCCCCGCTATTTTACCCTCTACTTGAAGGAGAATAACCTTCGCGAGAGATACCGCGATGCGTTTAATTATCGGGGAACTTTCCGTTCCAACTTTACGGTCGCGCTTTCAAAAGAAAGTCCTCCGAAAAAGTGAAAAAAAAAAAAAAAAAGAAGTATCTTCGTCGCCCTCAACGTTAGAGTGCGGTGACAGTCTTTATCACTGTATATCTTGCGTGGATTGCCTCGCTAGTTGCGAACCTTAATTGCAAAATGAAAAGCATCTTAGGTAATTTGCATCGATAAAAGTTCTTATCGCGTCGTTAGATCAGCGAAAATCTAAGATCCTGGGTCCCGATTCCGGGGCCAGTTTCGAGCTTTTTCCCAGTCGAGAAAAAGAGAGGCGAGCACCTTGGCAGGGCTCCTTTATCTCGGCGATCCGACTTTTAGGGGCGTCGCTTACTTTTCTGTCGTACCGACTCTTTTACGAGCGAGCAGTAAAAGAAGTTCGCGGATTATATCGCAGGGCTCGACCTTACCGACCGAGGCCGGCGACTCGAGATTTCGCCGTTTCGATACGTATCCCATTCCGACAATTCTGTTTCGACAAATCCTAAGTTCCTCCGCCCCTCCTCTCGGGGCTTTTTACCCCCCCGAATTATGCGATCTTCCCGGTCCTTCCGAGAAACCAGGATATCGAGGAACCCGGTAAAAAACCTCCTCCGAGCCCTCAATCATTGAGATTCCTTCCCGACGTTTACGCAGCCACCCGGGGCCCGGGTTGGTGCAGAAGCGAGCGCCCTTACCGACGTGACCCTCCCACCCACCACCCACCCGCTGGCATGCCGTAAATCATCGTTTTACGAGGCACCCCACGGTCAATCGAAGGGAAGGCCACGAACGAAAGAATGGAACACGAACTATGAACCGCGACTGCGCGCGCATCTCGAGAACCTCCGTCTTCCCTCCGCGCGTGCGCACTCACACGTCGACGCGCGGATCGCGATTTTACGACTTCGTAATTACGCGCTCCTCGAGGTCGCGGCTCTAAAGTCCTCTCCGAGTGCTGGAAGTTCCCTCGAGCCGCAAACGAATTATTAAGAATTCAATTAAAGAGGATACACCGCGGCCATTTTCCGGCCTCGGAGTAAAAATCAACGGGAGCCTTCGGATCGCGATTCCGCCATGAGGGATATTACGCTCGTACTTTTTAATTAATTCCCCCTACACCGTTAAAATATAAGATATTGACATTTTATACCTTACCGATACCCTTATCGGTACGTGGACGCGGTTCGGTAACCAGATATGGTCGCCCTCGGTTCTGGACTCTTAATGCTCCTTATGTGGGCAGATCGAGTGCCGCCTGCGAATGTCGCCATTACGGTCTCGCGTCGTCGCGCGTTAAGCGTTAAGACTCGGCGTCGCGACGCCCTCCCCTCCTGCCCCGTCAATCCCGGTCGCAGGTCGCGTCAAAGTGACTTCCGTCTCGGAACAGCTGGACGGTTTTTGGCCCCGCGGCCAAAACTGGCTCCTCCGCTCCTGTCGCTTGCCAAACGGACTCGCTCCCGGTTTACAAGCTGATAAATAAAGATCGCCTCGCAGCGGCGATCCGATTCCCGGATTATTTTACGACGCCTTGGCGGGGTCTCCAGTGAAAGTTCACCTCGGGGGATAATCGATTCGGGGGACGAGAAAGGAGGGCCGACTTAGGGCAGCGGTTACCACGCCGCGTGACAAATCCCGCGCGCCAAGTATCTAACAAAAGGGGCCACTCTCGATCGCGACTCGTAAAAGCGAACCGTCGGGCCTCCTCGTGAACGGGGAGCCCGTAAAACCGAGCGAGACTCCCGGAGGGAAGGAGAAGGAGGCCCCGAAATCGAAACTCCGGAGGTGCAGCCGGGGCTTATCGGCGGTGCCGTTATGACCGATAAATCGCGACTCTTTTCGCGATACTTCGCCCTTTCGACCGTAATTTGTAGACCCGGAAAGGCCGCATATATATCGGGCGTGCTCGTAACGCGAAACGGCAGGGACGATTGTTCAACCGGTAGGAGCCGTACTTTATGTTTATTTAACCTTTAAAATTAATAACTTACGCGCAAACGGCCATGACGGTGCGTCATCCAGTGCCTTATTATCGTTATGAGGTTTTTTACAAACATTAGGACGAAGACTCGTTTGGGGTGAATTCTTATATTTTTTTTTTTTTTAAATCGAACGCAGGAGCATGGACGATTTTAGTGGCCCGTGGTTATGGGGGGAGCTGTTCCTGGTCCCCTGAAAATCTGCTCGTGGGCGGAGAGAGGCCCCTGGTATTTCTTCTCGAGATGCGTCGATCGCTCGTCCGCAGCTCTTTTACGATCGGAGGGGAAATAATATCCGAGCGATGGTTAAATATGTGTAACATTTGATGGGGTCGTCTCGTCTAAGCGTTATGGGAACTGCGGGGCGCGCGCGCTCTCTCTCTCTCTTTCCTCGTCGGCCCGCCGAGGACCATTAAAAGATTAGTATTCGAAAGACCGAACGACCTAAGGCGTAAAGGGGGTATTCAGGGGTATACGACGCGAGGCCGTATAATGTCTGCAAAGATGTTTCTCCTTGCAGCCGCCATTCGGGAGAGCAACCCGAGAGTCCGCGTCGAGGTCCTCGAGCTCCCTCTTTTATCCCTAACGCGCTCCTCCTGGCGAACGGTCACGCTCGTATTTTATTGGAGGACTTTTAGACACGCTCTCGAACTCGACAAACGAGCCCACACCTCCTTGTGAACGGCTTTAAACGGGGGAATTCATTTCTGCCCGAAGGGGGGACCCGCTAAGACCGCCGGCGGCCATCTTGAAAGTAACATCTCGAAGACCGCAGCCAAGAATGGCGTCGGATTCGCGCTTCTCCGGGACAGAAAGAACGTAAAAGATCCGGGGACACGTTTTCCGGTCTCGGGCCCTTCGAGTCGCATGAGCGTCGCGACGGTTGAAAGAGCCGACGACGCCTCGGCATCCCTGGGTGGAGTCGTAAACCCAGGGAGAGGAGGACTTTGATCTCCTTGTTCTTGGATATTCCCAATCGAGGCGGAAAGGAGGACCGGGTCCCCTTCGAGACGCATTCGTCGGGCAGGAAGCAGGAACGGCGACGGCGACGGCGACGGCGACGCCGACGACGACGGCCTGGGTGCGCGTATGAAAACTAAGTCCGGGTTTCATTTGACTGACTTTACGAGGGGGACATAAAATGGATTTTACTGTCGGCTAGTTCGCCAGTTCTCGAGTTGGTAACATTGCTTTAGCGAACATAATATACGCTCCTGCCTTCGTCCCTGCCCCGCACTCCCCGTGCATTCTCTCCCTCTCCTTGCCGGGCTCTCCGTCATTTACGTTTACGTCCTTGTCGTCATCCTCGTCTTCGTCTTCGTCGCCTTCCTCGGCTTCCTCGACTTCTTCGCCTTCCCTCTTCGAAATGGCCGCCGAGATCGGAGGGGGAAAGCCTTCGAGCTCTCCTCGTAACCCGCTACGTGAGTTTCCGCGCGCACTTAATGCTAAACTTTTCCCATGAAAAGTATTGACTTACGCGATTTAATATCCACACGGCTATGGGTTTTAACTTCGCGTTAACGTCGTCGCCGTCATTTTTTTTCTCTCTCTTTTTCTTTGACCTCCGGCGTCTCCATAGAAGTCGTCTCTGGTTGGAGAACCCTTTCGAGAATCTCTTCACGGTCCTCTTTGGGCTCTTTCTCGAGGTCCTCTTCAGGATCCTCTTCCGAGCTCTCTCTTCGAGATTCTACAAAAAGCTTCCGAGAGGGAACGAATTCGAAGACGGATAAATACACCCAATGTTGCATATTTATGGTATTCCGTATTATGTCAATTTACATCGGCATTCTTATCAGGGCACGCGAACATGTTCGTTCCTAAAGAACGCGATGCTGAAAATTTTCCTCGATTCGCTCTAACCTTTCGATTTTTCTTTCGGTATTTTCGTCGAGTTTTCGCCTCGCTTCGGCATCCGTATGAGTTTATCTCGTGTGGAGGTGAAGTCGTCGGCGGGGTTATCGAAACTAGACGCAGTCGCAAGCGTGACTTTTTAAGATAGGTACAATCAATTTCCGCGAGATATTTTGACCATTACCCTGGACAGTAAAGATTGTGGGCGTGACATGTTGAAAGTCTTTCCACCGAGATGGCAATTAGGTAAAGAACATGACTGCAAGAGCGACAATGTTATCTAGCAACTTTAACGTGCATGTATATACAGTTATCTCGGGCTGACTTCGCCAGACTTTGTTCGAAAATTTGGTCAAGCGGCGGTCGTCTTATCTACGGGGGTCCACGTGGTAATCACAATCTTAATTACCATGAATTATTATCATTTGTCAAAATAATTAACTTCAAACGTACCTCGGTGTAGTGTCCGAATGTACGTTAATCGATAACCTAACCGTCTCCAACAATATAGCGCGACCCGGAGGAATCCCCAAGTCGGATTACATTACGTAAATTGATTAGATTGTTTGTGGTATCGCATTGCTTCTTTTGTTCCAGCAGGCCTCCCGCTCTTTAGAGAGATTGCGAAGATGGATGTCATTCCCGCAGATGTTCGAAGTAGATGAAGATCAGATGTCGGGATGGGTGAAGACCTAGGTGAAGACCCTTGACATAAACACCACGAGGCAACGAGAACATCCGCGAACTCGCCTGAACATCTTGGAATAAGAAGACGTGATAAAATCTCCTCTCGAGTGCCTCTAAAAATCATATCCCTGATGACCATTATCAATGCGATAACGACTTTGGCAACGAATCCGTACCAGGAGCTGATTCCCTTGCTTGACACTATTGCAAGGTCCGAGATGAGTTTGCGGGATGTCACATCTTGTCTTGATCTTGAAGACGTATCGAGAGGGGGCACAGAGTCGAAGATAATTGAAGAAGCACCAGAAGCAGGCGGACTATCTCTCGGTCTGCATTTGTGGGAGAATTCGTCATGACTTAGGAACATTTGAACGGCGACATCTCTTGGTTTCGCGAACACGAAGAATCTTCGTGACGTACCTCGTAGCTGCAAGACACCGCGTACCGAGAAAAACATCCCTTGGACCTGAAGCCACGATTTAGGAAGCCGAAGACCATCCCTAGGTTCTTCGGCAGCGTCTCGTCAGAGGTCTTATCAGCGACGCGTCCCTTTAAACGTGCATCCTCCAGGAGGCAGGAGGAACGTTGGATCAAGGATGCGTTTCCAGGAGGCGAAGGGCAAACCGAAGATCAGTTCGAGGACTTTAATGATGCCTTTCCAGGGGGCAGGGAACGGATCACAGGTCCGGTTTCGGAACCTTAATGATGCGTCTCCGAGAAGCTACCAGCCAAACATCTTCTGCCCTCCAGCCAATGGTCCAGTCTTCGGATGCTGAAGCGACACTTTGGTGCCCAGTGTTTGCACAGCCTGAGGATCATCCTCTTTGGACGACGCATCTTTGAACGGTACACGCACTCGTCCTTAGCAGTTCGTTGATCTTGGTCAGTCCTCGATCCACCCTTTCGGGATCGACGCGAGTTAGCGGTAAGGACGCACGGAGTGCTTATCAATTAATCGGTAGCCGACTCATCCGATAGTAAAAAAAGCGCAGGATTTACAGATTTCGACAACCGCGTCTGGTACTTATTGCTTCGAGTCCGCTCTAAATCGCTTGCCGCGTCTTCTCGTATCATTGTCACGATAATACAAGCATATACCCGAAAGATAAACGCTTTTGACCCGTGATATTGTCATTCGATCTACGTGCACGTCCCTTGATGGCCACCGAGTACTTTGAAAGTGCCTCGTGTGTCCTTACCATCGGGTTCTAAACTCGATGCATGTCCGCCGGGCGAACATGATTAATTTTTTTTTTTGTTTTCGTGGTTTATCTTCTCCTTTTTTAAAGTTTTGTTCTTTTATATATAAAGATATATACGTATGGATACCCTACGCGACAAAAACAAATATATATATATACGCATACATATATATTTTCTCGAACTGTCTTGTATGACTCGAGGAGTTTGCATGCGATCGTCGCGTTGTCTGTGCGAGCTCGCACACTTGGTTGATGGGAATCGAAGGCGGTGAAGATATACTTTGTCAGGTGAAATGCGATATTCACACGATTTTAGATCGTTGAATATATTTGCGGGATAACCGCATGGTGCCCACGGCGTATCGATGCGTGCGATGCGGCTGTACGTTGCTAAACATGGCCGCGCGAATTTGCATACCTACTTTTGATGCCTTCGGGACTGGCGGGAAATAATTTCGAGTTTGAATGTTGAACAGCCGATTATGCATCCGCAAATTCCGCGAAACTGGTATTAACGTGGTTTAGCGACTTTCCATGAATTTTTAACTCGAGACGGTGATTTTGAGAATTTTTATGCGCATCGTAGATTTAGAGCGCGTTAAGGGTCCGTGGAATTTCGAGATGGCGGATGTAAGTCTCCTTTCTGGTCGAAAGAAAAAAATAATAAAAAGAAGATATTCCTTCCGGTATCACCCGCCTCTCGTTTGACGCTGGCTCTCGAACGCTGCGTTTCCTTTTATCAATACTTCGCTTTTATCAAAGGCCGCGCCGTATCTTCCAGTTGCGATCGCTGATTTTACGGCAGCGAAAGACCCAACGTTTGTTTTTCTTTTTTTTCCCCTCCTTTTTTAAACGCAATAAAAAGTTAATTTCCCTTTGCAAACGCGACTTCAGGCGGACGATGTGAAGTTACGCGGACAATGCGTCGGATATGTTGAAGGCCAGCGGCTTGAACGATGTAGAGGCTAAAACGCGAAGAAACGAGTCTATGGTTGCGAATTCATTTGATCTATAGAAGGTATTAGAGAAGTAAAGTCAGGAGCGCCGAGAAATAGGCGCCAGGTCCATTTTTCATTTATCGACTTTTTCGCTGGGTTCTTCTACAGACGGAGCACGGAAGCGTACCTCATTCCGCTTATGATATACGTACGGACTCGCATGCGCATCTTTGTGCGTTCATATATGTGTAGATCCTAGCATCAGCATGCTTGTTTGTCTATATACGTGTGGTCGGCGAGCACTTGAAACGCGCAAGAGGAGGTAACGACCGAGAGATGTCGAAGGATCCACTTTGCGCCTAAAAAACATTTCTATCCCATGGACCAACACCTCACGCCATAGAAAAATCTCTCATCGGGCCAAGTGAGCCTGGGTAAAACGTCAAGATGTTTAAACACTCCAGATTTTCGAGTCTTGTCAAAATTTCGCTTGAACCGACAAACGCGAGTACAAATAATTCTTAGAGTTAACAAAATATCTCTTCGGTCGAATGCATTTTTTTTTTTCATTTAAAAAATCTCGGAACGTCCTCTATTTTTAATTCCAGCTTAAGATTAATATTCTGCAGCCTCCTGAAGTGTCCCTCGACATCCTCGATCGTGAGATCCGCGATCGTAGGCGCTCGATCTCGCGGAAGCGGCCACGTCCTAAACTTACGTATCGTCGCCATATATTTTTAAAGTTGTAACTCCTAATCTTATCGTAATATATGTATCGTCTATGTATGCGGTAAAAGTGCGCCTATGGGGAAGGGTCGTTCGCGTGCTTGCGCAAGTTCAGGTTCCGTTCGGGACTCGGAATGAAATCCGGCGATTGCGATTTATACCTTCAGCAAGGACGATCCTGGACATGAAGTATGTCCCCGGTATCGGTCGAGGACTCGCTGCGAACTTTCCTCCTCGAACGACTCGCTGCGAATTTCCCTCCTAAAACAAATTCGCACCTCGCCATCGCGCGCTCGCTTAATCGATCTTAAGCCCAAGCCCGAACGGTCTCCGAGAGTTGACCGTTTCTAGTTATTTATTCGGCTACACTTAGAGTCCGACGCGTCGAAGTATGCAAGTCAGACTTTGCGATGTCCGACGTCCATCGGCGCATTTTGCGAGAGAAGTGCGCGCCCAAGCCGTGAAGTATGCACGTAAGCCCGGCTATACAGCGCGCACCGTTTCAGTGTACTTAGCGTATCCTAACCGTTAAATTATAATAAATACAATCATGATGTATAACGTAAAAAGCTCGCAAAAGTCGTTCGACGGGATCTCGTCGCCTAAGCACGCGGCATCGAGACTGAAAAAGCATGCACCCGTAAAATTGTTTAATAAAGCACGGGTGCTGGATTAAATTTTCAGGAATTTTTTTTTTCTATTTTTTTTTCATTATCATTTGAAAGCCGTTCGACGTGCTTTTATCAGGACTTCGCGAGTCACGACAAGCCGGTGACAAGAAGGACATCGAGTCGGAAAGGTAAGTGACGCGACTACCGGCGATCAGCTGTTCTCTCGAATTTAGCTTTTTTCTCTCCTTCCTGGTAAGTTTTCTCGGAGGATTCTCAGGACCTCCTCGTTGAACTCGATTCCCGGATCGAAGTTTATCGGAGGATATCGCTCCTCGAGCCGGTCGGAAGTCGACGACCTGGATGCACCTTCGTGCGCCGAACGACGGGAGATAGAAAAAAAAAAAAAAAGAAAAGAACTCCCTGGAGGGAGAAAAAAAACGTAATTGGCCAGTTGCGAGATGGCAATTTAGCAAATTTCTTGCAGACTTACGGAAAGCTCACGCGTTTATTCCGCGGCCTTAAGCTGAGAAAGATTCGGCCCATTCGTCGGCCCGACGCCGCGACTTAATCCTTTCGGCGTCCCAGCTTAAGGCCACAAAACCCACCCATCAAACTCGCACACGGGCGTCCACGTTCCCTATGTACGTCCTCATACGCATAAACGTCCTAATGAGCGAAGAAAGTGCAAAGTCGCGCCATATCTTGGCGACCGAAACCTCGATCTCGCGGTAGATCGATTATTCCATGCAAATCCGACCGCGTGGTCGGTCGGCGGATGAATCAACGAGCGTTAACGTTAATCGATGACGACTGTTAACGTGGAAGTGGAATACGAGCCGGTCAGCCGTATCGGTAAGGGGATATCCCCTTGCCGGGGATAATTAATCGAGTCGAATTAAAGATAACGCGGCGAGCTTGAAAGCTCGTTTAACATTCGACAAAGTGTGTCACTAGAAGCCGAAACTCGGCTTTTACCGCTCGCGGGCACTCGCGCGAGTACCCGTGGCCTCGAGAGGTATGTACTCGCGCGTTGCACTTGCCCGATGCACGCTCGTGCGAGGGGTGAACGAGAGAGACAGACAGAAGGGGAAGGGAGAGTAGTCATACCGGTTGTGTCGGCTGAAACTGAAGTCCGCTGTCTGGAAGTGGGGAAGATGGCGTCAAGTGGAGAACAGTCGAGCGTTTTATGGTTTATGCAAATTCCTCGATTGCGCCTCTCTTAATCTTTCTCCTTCTCTCTCTCTCGCCCTTTGCCGCCCCCCTGGCCCCCTCGTCGACCCTCCTGCATCGGACAACTACATTTGCATCGCCCTGTAGTTACGCGATGCAATAACACCGATCGACGGCACATTCTCTTTGGTCTGGTCGCGGTTCCCAGGAATTCCTGAACTCGCTCCTCAAACTTGTTAAAATGTTAAAAGAAGGAAAAAAACGATCGATGATATTTCTCTGTAAGATAGCCGGTGGAGGTACTCATGGGGACGAACCTCCTTCGAAGGACGAGGTACCTGGTACCTCGACTACTTCCCTTCGTGCACCGTTGCAACGATCTCGAGTCTAAGATCAAGAACATCCAGACGTTATCGAGCAATCTCGCGATAACGGTGGCGATAGCGACGAAGGTTTGCTCGCCGTCGCGGTAACCGCTTCTGCTATTGAAACGTCAAGATCAACAATTTATTTTCATTAACCGCATTTAACGAGGCCTACGGTACTATGGCTCGTGTATCCCTCGCAACTTCAGAGAGGTTAGGGCGCCACGCCTCTCATTACGGCGCCCTAACCTCCAAGGAAACCTCCTTCTTGGAAAACCTTCCCCACGCAAACCGCGACCGGCCAGCTCGCATCGCTCCCGTGTTACTCCGAGAAAGTAATTTCCTCTCCTTCGAAGAAATGATTTCTTCGAAGGGAGTTAAAGTCAAAGGAACATAGCCTCAGCTCCAAAACGCCGAGTGCCCCGATGTAGCGCACCGATCTAATACTTCAAATCTTGAAATAATAAAGCAAAAGACAGAGATCATGAGTTTCAATGAACTAATTTCCTTGAAAGAGAGAGGGAGAGAAAAAAAATTACATATGGGGTAATTACGCCTCCTCCGAGCCTAAGGTGTATTATTCGAGGGAATCATATTCCTCGAATCAATGAGATCCTTTTTTTCGTTCTCCCTGTCGGTTCGAGAAATTCCGACGCGATCGCCGAGGTGCATTCGGCCGAAAAGGGTTTTAAAAGCTGGGCCGTGTCGAGAGTGCTCGTCCAATGTTGCACGCAACACGCGAGGGACAATCGATCCCTCGGATGCACTCTCGGCTGCATTCGTGCAACCGCCGGGGGAAGAAAAAGTCTCGGAGGCGGTTGGAAGGGCGGGCAATTTTAATCCTCGGGAGTTGCGCAATTGAATCGAAATAAATCGTGATGCATCGCCGTTGACACGTGTCTCGGCGCATCGACGTATCGACGTGCCCGTAAGGAGTTATCCCGGCGATATCAGAGATCCACGGCTGGCATCTCCTCGATCGACTTTCATCCTAGCGATATTTTCCGCGAAATTATAAATAGAGGGGAAAAGAACTTCTGTTTACCCTCTTACCAGACGAGCGCGTGCGTCCGTATGCACTTAGGCATATCCGTCGATATCTACGTACCATGACTCGGTGCAAGTACCCACGTGCACCGCGGCTTACGCGCACTCGTGCACTCTTCTCTCGTGTGCCCGTCCCAGGCATGCATGTATGCGATGCACGCGCGGTCAAGAGACTATAAAAGTCGTCGCGATGTTTAACTGCGCCGTCTCGACATAAACTAGGCACTATATTGGTGAGATAGCGCAGAAACCCTCGACTCGACGTGCGCTCGTCGCGACAGCCAACATCTCGGGTACCCCGAGCCAAGATGGCGGCCGGCGACGCCCGGCGCCGTCGCGCCCGCTTCCCGGGGAACATTTTACAACTTTACGCGGGACTCGCGTGAGATGCATAAGAGATTCGCCGGGACTCGAAACGCATTCGAGGACTTAAATCACCGAAGGGGTTCAGGGTCTTAGAAAGAACGCGGACGTGGGGAACTTTTGATGCCCCAACCAAGTGCCCATAAACGCGGCCCCGTGAGAGGAATCGGTTGGTTCGGACGAATCCGAGTTCTTTACAAATGGTACATGGTTATGTTTATGTACAGGATGGCTTGTGCCAGTCGAACGGAGGGACCTTTGGGGTAGGATGTGCAGGACGAGTAATTGGACATCGGATCGAGCCGCAGGTGAGCGACAACCGCTGTAAGTTAAACGGGTCTGGAACGGGTTCTCCTTTGCAGGACGTAATCGCCTTTCCCCGAAAGCGCGTTTAAGCACTATGTTTCAGAAAATGAGCAGAAGTTTGCGCGAGTGGGGACCCGGTATCGCCGGTGGGCTGGTCGGGGTCCGAAATAAGCTTCGCCGCGGCGAACGATCCGCGCCGTCCGGGTTTATATAAGTAACTCAACTCTATGTAAGTCAAAGTGCAAGATGGAAGTAGAAGGTGCATCGCGGGTAATTATACGCCAGGCAGCCTCGCGTTGCGAACACGCCGTAACAACCTCTCTCGACCTGCCCCCCAGCACGGACTGACACCGATTTTTTTTTTTCTTTTTTCCCTCCCAACTGTCTAAACACGGAGTCTAAGTAAATACCGCGTGCAAGTCGAAGGGATACTTGAGAATTAATAACGATTTCAATGAAAATGCGGCACTCACTTTTTTGGTCGAAAACGTCATACGTTGCAGGGAAAGAGAATCGAAGTTCGATCGACTTTGTTCGGCCCCAAGTTCAGGAGGTAGATCGCGTATGATCCTCTGTACACGCCTGGTGTATGGAATTGCCATAAGGAGTACAAGACGGACAGGTATACCAACTGCTCCACCTACGAGTCGTAATGTACGGCCAGCCATAATGCCACGTCTGATACCTCGATAATGACCGTACCTACATACTCGAGCACACGTACAGGCACACCCATCAAAGTTAATGCCGAGTGTGCTGCCATTGCGCGGGGGAGGCGACCCAGGTATTCCGTTTCGGCAACAATTTCGTTACCTTACAGTTTATTTAAATGGCACCTCCAAAGCCAATTCCGCAAGGTCCGAGAAGCTTGTCAAACCCTCGCGAGACTATGTACATTTGGCAGACGAAAGTGTCAACAAGATTGTAGAATGGGTTGCACCGAGTATACGTTAATTATTGCACCGATGCATCGCGTGTGCAGACGAAGCGGTCTCAATGCACTCGTGCGTGTTTACGGATATCGGTGTGTGCACCTTGCGTGTACAGCGGGCTCGTGTGTTTCTCCGTGCACGGCTAGAACACTCGCGTGTGTTAAGCCCATGATTACATATTCGCATTCACGCATGCCTACGTGTTGCAAGAACTGCACTCGGCGATTCAAGTCTTGCGATTTTGGGTCGCGTCCAACAGTCGGAACGGAACTTTCGGACGGACATAGTATCGGCTTGCGAGCTTCGCTGGCGGTTTCGAAGCGCGGATTTAACTCGGACATGAGATATATAGACCCTGCACGATGCTTCGACCCGGTGGCAGCGAAACAGAGGAGCCATTCTCTAGATCAAACTCTCGCTACGCGAAACGGTAGCGCGGTCCAACATGGCGGCTGAACCCGCAACAGGGGAACGAAGAGAAGAGCTGCGGAAAATATTTCTATTATGCTTTCTGTCCAAATCGAGAATTCTATTAGGACCCTTGGGGACACGGTCTTCATTTGTTCCACGAGAAAAGGGTTAAAAGGTTCCCGAGACCATTGGTCCGTATAGTCGCTTTTCCGAGTTGTCACCGTGCCAATGGATGTGTGCGAATTCTCGAGACTGTTACATATATCTCCTGGCATGTGCGCCGCGCAACAAGATAAGGACACACTTTAACCGTGTTATCTAATACGTTGTGTAATGCACCGATTGGCCAGTTTGCTACTTTGATTTATCCGAGTATCTAATAAAATGCAAGTGACTGTCGGTTTCCAGAGATCTCGTCGGTCGTCGAAGCTTGCGACTCGACTGGAAGGAAGGTGACCGAACTACTTATTTAACTTTTTTCCTCTCAAATGAGGCGTTGGAAACGACGTGCAGTTAACGTCACGATACCTCGTTTTATCCAACATCGATGTACAACGATGTTTCTTTCATTAAATTGCCAAAAAAGTGTTGCAACGTGACCGCGGTGCATTCGTATGCATATACAGGAGGCAAAATGTTTGCCTTCGAAGTAATGAATATTCGCTTAAATAATGGAGATGATATACACTGTTTTTTTTTTCCGCTACTAACGAGCGGAGGACTAACAGATGGATAATGTTGTCGAATAATTAGCTGATACGATATACGCCAGTGATCGGGAATTATTGCATTAATATTTCAATGTTACCGAGCGAAGTGCGCACTCTTGTGGATCGTGGCTGTTACGCGGATATTAGCTTATCTTGTCACGAAACGAGGGGATAATTGTATTCCGTAAAATTGTGAATTTAACTATGAGACCGACGACTTGTTCCTCACTTTTCATGATCACTTGAATTTATGAGCGTTTGCTGGTTACTTGATTTCCATTCCTACCGACAGAAGCAATACGCGCTTCGCAAAAGATACGCGTGGCGTCTCCACGTGCGGATCTTGCTGTCACGCGAAAGTAGTTTAACAATGAAATAAAATACTGCAAGAATATAAACAAATATATCATAATGTAAATCTTCACGGAACGAAATATGCTACTTGTGAATCTTGTTTTTTTTTTTTTCTAGTTAAAATTCAGTGTTGCAGTTAAGTGGTTTTTATAACCTTTAATCTAAAATATGTTTAGGTCCAGACGTTCTGGGGTAAACGTGTAAATTATCCTGCATAATAAATTGAGGAGTTACCTTGGAATCCAAGATTTAACAGACACATATAGTTTCCAAGAAAGTATCAGGTAAAATCCAATTTATTAAGAATAGGTGTAATTAGAACTTTCAGGTTATCAGGGTTTATAGCGAGTCTCTCATTATTTTATAATTATCGTTTTTAGAGGAATAATGGAGAACCCTGACGTGCAGAAGAAGATTTTGCAGTTTGAGTCGTTTATCAATGACGTTCTGCGGGTTGACCTTGCAAAACTCGAAGCGAAATTAAATACTAAAAATGAAGACGCCGCAGAGTTCTTACAACTCAAAAGCGTCATTGAGTCTCTGCAGAAAATGGGGGCAGATAAGAATGGATTTAAAACAAAAGTAGATATTGGAAATAATTTTTTTGTACAGGCTCATGTCGAGGACGCTTCAAATATCCTTTTAGATGTTGGCTTAGGTCATTTTGTTGAGTTAAACCTGCACGAAGCTCTGACAGTGATTGGAGTTAGGTTGAAGCTACTCAATCGACAGATAGAGAATCTTAGAAAGGAAGTTGCAAAAACAAATGCACATATAAAATTGATTCTAATAGGTATTCATGATTTGCAAGGGGTCAAGGAGCCATCGTAAATGAGGGTCTTTAAATCAAGCTTGAATCGTATATGCATCTTACATCTTTTGCTCCTGTACATGACTTTTCTGTAAATAAATTAACTGTTCGTATGTGGGGTTACATATTATTTAAATCCTATAGAATTTATCTCGATTTGGTGTTTATGGCAAACACGTAAACATATTTTCTCTTTGGTTAATGCATTTGTAATCTCCATTCAAACGAACCCTTGAGCAGGTCTTTTGTCTTCCTATTAAGGATACTTGTCCAGTTGTGTGCTGACCTTGTAATCTACTTTATGTAACTTAGGGTCCCTATTAAAAGCAACCGACAATGCAATATAGTGTCCTGCGTTACTTAGTAGCAATGCAGTTGGTTTCCTAGTGCAACTCGGTGCGGAAAAATCTTTTTCGCGAACTTCGAAAATACAAACTCATGTCTTTAGATCGAGCACTGATGGACTGGCGTAACATGCCATGTGAAATCGAGCACAAGGAGTTTCTAAAGAAATTTTCGGACTGTATGCTTCAATGGGTGTTTGAAGGTGTAAACCGTAAGGAACCAGTGACCAGGTGGAGAGAATCGAACCACTTGAAAGAGCTACTTGAATTAAAATTGCAAGACTTACCACAATCACAGGAACGCATCCTCAAAATCTCCAAAGATGTATTTCGCTACAGCATCAAGAGTGGTCATCCTTACGTGTTTAGTCAATTATTTTCTGGGTGAGCCGTTCGCATGAGTAGCTGCATGTAATCTGAAAAATACGATAAAAGATGTAAGTTTGTCGATAGTATTCCCGAGGTGACATCTTACTATTGAGGAGAAAATTTTGTTAATACGAGTTACATAATATTTAAGAAAAAAAAAAAAACAGGACATACATACTTTAATTATCGATTTGTCAGTTGACGTCCTATTGTCACTAGGTTGGACCCTTACGGATTGGCAGGGCAGTGGTTGACGGATTTATTAAGTGTATCGATGCACACATATGAGACTACTCCGATCCTAACCCTAATGGAGAAGACCTTGATCCAGAAATTGTCGAGCATGTTTTTCATTGACAACGATGCCTCAGACATTACAGGTGAAGGTCTTTTTTGCCCCGGAGGAGCATTCGCAAATGGGATGGCTATAAACCTTGCAAGATTTTGGAGCACATCCAATATCAAGGTGAAGAACCGTTACGAGAGTTTTCAAACCACGCCAAGATTTGAATAATTTTTTCAATTTATTTGGCGTTCAAATACCTGCAGAAACATGGGCATCCTGGATCGAAACTCGTTTTCTTCGTTTCGGAAGACGCTCACCGTTCTATTTCAAGATGGGCCAGTATTTGCGGCTTGGGAGATAACAGTGTCCTGTTAATCAGGACTGACTACTTGGGACGAATGGATACTCGCGATTTGGAAGCAAAAATCCTGGATGAACGAGAGAAGGGAAATCATGGCTTTATGGTGTGCGCCACTGCCGGTGAGTCACTTTTTATAAATCTCCGAGAACCACATTTAATTTTTTAATAATTTATGCCGTTAGGAATATTTCGAAAACTGAACATTCACCTCGAGAGTTTGAATTGCTTGAAATGTATCTTTGTAATACTGACACCTCGTGGCGATTGTTGTTTCTATTTAATCACATGTGTAGTTCGCGTCGAATGGCACTGCGATCGCACGTATGTTGCGTCAGTTCACTTCGGTGTAAAAATTCGCGAAATAATAGAAGGAATATAGAGAATATGCGGAATTAAGAATGATAGGGATATAGGTGCTTTTTGCGGATTTAATGCAATTATTTGGGTGTTTTAGGAACACTCGTTTTAGGCGCTTTTGATCCCTTGGTTGAGATTGCCAGAATTTGCGAGAAATTCAACATGTGGATGCACGTGGATGCTGCTTGGGGTGGAGGGGTAATATTTAGTGGGAAGTATGGAGGACTTCTGCGTGGAATATCTCGAGCTGACTCCATCACATTCAACCCACATAATCTTTTGGGCGTTTCTCCGCAGTGCTGCGTACTCTTGACCAGACACTCGGATGTCGTGAAGAGAGTCAATATCCAGGAAGCTTTAGAGTCGTCACAAAATGACAAGTATGACATAGACTTTGACGACATCGGTCTGCAAGGTGGACAAAGACCGGACATTCTCAAATTCTGGTTCATGTGGCTGGCTAAGGTAGTGGTCTAATAGATCCTGATCTACTACAGTTATAAATTAAATCTCTAAGATCTGATCAAGAAAGTTTACGGTTTGGTTTGGATTTTAAGTCTTATCGAAGAGCACAAAATGAAGTTCTCGTCTGTTAGCACCTTTTTGGTTAAAACCACCGAGCCAGGATCCTCGAAGATCGAATGAAGGGTTCTAGGAGGGATTTCCCATATCAGCCCCTATATTAAAATTTTGATGCAGCCACTTATGTAGATACTGAAAACTAGCCTTCGATGCAGTTTTCACCCCGGTCTTCCTTGAACTTTGCATCTTGCACTCCGTACTAGTACTCAAGCTACCGTCGAGGCACACTCCGTTGAAAGTAAGTGCCTGCATGCTTTGTTCGGAGTGTTTGCCTCTCTACTTGTGCATACATTAATGTTCCCCTAGTGCCGTTCGTATCTCGTTTGCTCACTGCCTTCTCAGGACTCTGAAGGTGTTTCCAGCTTCCTCGGAGGGTTGCTCTCGGAACGATGACTGTGAGCAAAAGTAGTTCCGAAGGGTTCTCTATTAATCTCAGGATGATGATGTAGTCTTAAATCGGCTAACTGTGCAGTTCATCAAGTGCAATCACATTCTCTAAGGGTTGGCACAGTTTCTTGATCTTAGATCCTAGATCCTTGATCCTTGCTCCAAGATCCTAGAAATGTAGGATTTTCTTAAACATAATAATTCCTAAGATGAATACGTTGAAGAGAGCATTGTATGCTTCTTTTCTATCTTCATTAGTAGAATCAGATTTTTATTTTTTGTAATATTTCATCGTAAGAACGTTATTTATTAGAATAAATTTAAAAATTCTGTAACGACATTGTAATTGTTTTGAGATATTAAGAAACATTTCAGGGCAGTCTCGGCTTTGAGAAACATGTGAATCATCTGATGGCACTCGCAGCATCCTTCAAGGAGAAAATTGAAAAGCGAGAAGGTTTTCAACTGGTAACGCAGCCTTGCTTTATAAATGTTTGCTTTTGGTATATTCCTCCTAATTTAAGGGGTCAAGAATCCGTGAAAGGCTTTGAAAAGTTGCTAGACAAGGTACGTCAAACAGAATATTTTTCTACAGAAACATTGCTCAAGATAGCTACATAAGTGCTACATTGTTCCTCAAGCATTTAAGAAATGTTAAAAAAGAAAACGCTATAACACAATTTCCAGCTTATGATTATCTGCTGTTACAGCAAAGCTTCAAACGTTGTAAAAAAATGTTGATAAGTTTCGGTCTTAATATAAGTGATAAATGTAACAGTTTTGGAATTTCGGTACCAGAAACTGTTTTTTGCTGAGCTCATTAATGCCTTTCTGCATGATACAATTTAGAATATTATTAACATGGTCATGAATATTATTAACAGTCTCAGTTTAGATTATGTACTTTGAATTCTTTATCACGAAATTCATGGTAAATATATGGAATTAATCAGTGCAGTTTTCTACTGCACCACGAGTAGCTCCTTTATCGGCTACGGATATCTGGGGTATCGACACGGTGCAGAGATACCAACGGAAGTTCAAATCGGAAAATCAAAAGATAAAAATTCTACTGATAATAATCCGAGTCACTGTCGATCGAATTTCCGTTTTCTTGAGCAGCAGAGAGGAATATTAAAATTTCTATTTTATCGTTCATCGATAATTCTTTGCTCCTGCTCTGTCAATGTTTTATCAAAAGCTGCTAAATTCACGGCTTCAAGTACTCTTTACAGGTGTCAGTACTAAGTCAAATTAATTTCCTCACGTTTCAATTTATCTTTCCAGGTCGCGCCAAAGCTAAAAGAGATGATGACCAAAAGGGGCAGTCTAATGATGTCTTGTCAACCACTGCGGAATCAGCCTAATTTTTTTCGTTTCATCGTGCAGAACTCCGGAGTGGAGATGCAGGACCTGAATTATATCTTAAACGAATTGGAGAACCTAGGATCCTATCTTGTACATTAATCACCGTAATCACTGACGTAGTTACCACAAGTATTTCGTGATCTATACAATCCTACGGATTATCCGACGTACCTAGTGACTGCAGCATCCCCTAGAATATTTAATATACGCGTTCTCCTAGGGGAAAGTCAGAGAACTCCGAGCCAAGGTAATAGCGTAAATAAGTCTCGAATAAATCACATGTAAGCGTATGAAGTTAATAAATCCATCTTTTTAGGGTGGCCCCGAAAATCAAAGTCGCGCGACAATCCATGCGTTTATCCATATCGAGGGGCGTTTCGTGAAATCTTGCGACCTATATGCCTACGGAATATATGCATGGGTGCCTATAGGGTGTCGTGTCGAGATGTATGCATTATGGAAGGCTCGCAGCTAATCCTGATTCAAATGACAGCGTACGAGGAAGCCGTATATCGGTAGTAGCCTGCGTGCAGTAGTTGGCACGTATGGGTGGCCGGAGCCACCCCTTGTAACCGGCCAGGGATGAAACCACTCCCGGAAGAGCGGGCGATCTACGAGCCGGGGTGGAGGAAGAGAAGGGTCTTTGTAAGAAATTCCTATGCTCTCGCCTAAGATGCTCTTGAAAAATCCTCGTAAAAGGAGACCGTAAACTTCCCTAAGTCCGGCCGGGGGTGGAATCGAGAGCCGGTTCGAACACTGGCTGCTGCGGAATTTTCTCGAGGTAGGGAGGGACGAGATGGCACGCGGTTAAATCGTAAAGATCAAATAATGTCGGGGTGATTTTTCATTTCCAGGGGCTAGATCGACGGAAAGAGACCACGGGGAATCTAAGGGTGAGGCTCTTCGAAGCCTAGATACGTCTTTGCCCCTCGTAAGCCTCTGCGGGGGTGCTTGCCCTGCTGATCAGGAACGTGGACAGTGGCCTGCCGTGAGCAAACCTCGTCGTTTCTTCCAGCGCTCTTTCAATATATTCTCGTGGCTTTAAATAATAACTCATGAAGACTTCGACCGAGCTTAGTGTTAAGCCTGATGATTATCGTCCGAGATAAACGCATGTATGCGCGAAGATTGATAGAATGGGGGCGGTTTATTGGATAAATCGACTGGTCGAAATTGTTAACTTCAACCCGGCAATAAATGTCACGCGTCGAAGAAGTTCATCGGTAAAATCGATTAAACGGGGGTAGGGACATCCAGTGCCTCGTAACTTGACGTTGTTAACGGATTTCAAATGCTTGTTACGAAAGGTAAGAACAATTCAAATAATTGCATAGGGACACACTTCGACGCGGAGATAAGTGCGGACTAATTGCTCCGTGCAATAATTATTCTGCTAACGTACCACTTGTACACGCTGCGTTATGTCTGCAGTTACCCGTGCTGTATACGCGACTAAAAAGCTTATTGTTTGTATTCACTGAATGTACAATTGAATTTCGTGTTCCGGATCCGGATGTGTTTCAATGGTATTTATTCCTCGCGTAATTATTCGCAATGGATTCCCACGCGGTTAATGAAATTTATCTTCGTTTTCATTAAAATCATTAAATGATTTCTCGAGACTTGGTCATTTAGTTGTATTCTCTTCTCACTTATGGAAATGTTAAGTTTAAAGGAGTACCGCTCTTCGCCGTATGCCGTATTAGGAGCATTACGGTGCATGTACGACTGCGTCCGCAGTCATGCACCTGTGCACCTTCCGTTATTCAAGGTAGCGTCAGTCTTCGTACGGACATTTGTCAATGCAAACTTACCATTCGACGGTCGACTGTCAGAGTCTGCAAACGTTATCGCGAGTGTCCGCCATTTCGCCTGGTATCATTCTCAGGGACATCCCTCGGTTGGTCGAAATTCGTTCGATGATTGAAAAATGACAGATTTTTCTGAAAATAAAAAATTCATTATTAGACTTCGAGAAACCGTCGACTTTGTTCTCTCTAGTGGTCAGAGTAATCAGGTAAAGTCGTGACGTGTACAATTTTTTGGGGGGCTTTAACAGTGTGAAGTGTTCTCTAAGAGTCACATTCCGGTAACGTAGTCCCGCGAATCTCGCCTTTACGAACAGGTTCGACTCCCTGGTTTTCCTGATTGCACAGGTCATGGGACCCGTCGAGACGTACCGCTACCTCATCGAGGAGGTGTCAGGTGAGCTCGAGTTCTTCCACCTTTTCCTCGTCTTATCTGCTCGCTCTTCATAAGAAAGAGGAAAGAAGAAGAGGGAAGTATACTCGGAAACTTTGAAACTTCAAGCTCCAATTGCTCTGGCCTTTCTCAGATCCCAGGGTAGCTGATTGGCCCTTGATGGGTAGTCCATTCCCGTTGGCTCTGCTTCTTATCGGATACATCGTCTTCGTGCTTCACCTGGGGCCCAGGTACATGAGAAGTCGACAACCATACTCGCTTTATGGTTTCATGATTTGCTACAATGTCTTGGTCGCAATCGCCAGTGGAATCGTCTTCTACGGGGTAAGCGTGGTCCCATTTTTGACGGTAGACTTCATTTATCCGCCAGTGATTGAATTGACGATTAAATTGTATCGCGTTTCGCGATAGTCCACGTGCCAAGGAAAATCCTAGAAAATCTTCGAAGTTCATTTTAATCTCGCGTCAATGTTTAATACCGTATCTATTTTTCTTTTAGCTCGTCACGTCTTGGTATTCCACCAACACCTCTCTGGGATGCGAGCCCGTTCAATTCTCGAATAGTCCGGAATCCCTGAACGTGAGTTTTCCTAACCGGAATGGCTCGACAAAAGTGCTCTGAGCCAGTATCAAAATTCATAGTGTTTCACCGAAAATACTGTTCGAGCGCGAAATGTTTCCGCAAACAGAGCTATTGGATTTTCGTATACGATCAGCTCCTATTTTAGCTGCATTTGTTTGATCGCGGCAAACAATGCACACGTACTTCATCGAATTGCGCCTGTTGCAAAGGCATCGCCAGCGGCTCGTTGGAACGTTTTTGCATTTAGCATAAATCCCAACATTTGCACAGCGATTCAGAGTCCGAACGGTCTAACGTTCGTTGCAACATTCCGTTGCACCTGATCATTCGTGTAAATGTATATCCTGTCTAAACGTAAAGCTGGATTACAATTTATCGACCTATTCGCAATGTTGAAAAATTGATGTTCCGATTTTTTATCCACCGAAATAGATGGCCAAATGGGTATGGTGGGTTATGGTGTTGAAGATCGGCGAACTGGGGGACACCATTGTCTTCGTCCTGCGTAAGAAGTACCGACAACTATCGTTTTTACACATTTATCACCACTTTACCACTGCAATTGTGGCTTGGATTTCCTGCAAGTACGTGCCAGGTGAGTGCACGTGGAGGAAACTACTTTGCATAGCTTCGCATTTATAAATCTCCGGTTTTTCTGTTTAATACGGTTTTGCGATTTGTATCCAATTTACCTATCGATTTTCTTCCAGGGGGAATGTGGACCTTCGTCATGATACCCAATTCCTTGGTCCACGTGGTCATGTACACCTACTACTTGTTGGCCGGCCTAGGACCTAGGATACAAAAAATGCTTGTTCCATGGAAGCCGTACTTGACGATACTCCAAATTGTAAGAGCCTAATTGCATCTCAGTACCGCCGAAAATGTCCACGTCCATTTTCCAATTTTAACTTCTCTGCCTTTAAATGCGTTCCCGATTATTGCGTTTGCGGACGTGACTCGGGTCGAGCCGATTTACTTTCGCCGAATTCAATTTTCGAGGATGATTTTAATGAACGGTCGAAAAAGTGGGGATGTTCAATGCAGCTATTTCTCGAATTTAGGCGCAGCTGCTGATCATGTTCGTCCACACGTCGCAAATGCTGATGCCTTGGTGCGAGCCCGAGAGGAAGCCTTTGGCATATCTTTACATGTTCCACGAGATCGTCGTCCTGTACATGTTCTGGGACTTCTACAGGAAGTCCTACACGAGCAAGAAGACCCACTGACCTCGTGGTCGAGAGTCTCGAAGGAGTCTGGGAGACGTTCGACAGGGAATTCATTCGTCCACGGAGGAGTGTCCCGAGTTCCTACAGTTACAGGACACTGCCGAGGTTCGATCCATCGAACCGATAGGTCGAGCTCGTCCTTTGCTTCAGTGTCGGTATCCACACAATTTCGTCAACTGAGGAGACAGCCCTCCGAAGTAGTTTTGTACTTTCGTAAGATTAAAGCTCGCACGGATCAATCGGAGTGGATGCTCTCGTCGGAGCCATAACCGAATTTCCCGAAAAGCACGACCCCTCCGTAGAAGTTGCCCGGGTTGGTACTCCCAGACTCCTTTTCAGGATCGTTTAAGATCTCCGCATCCATCCGATCGTTCGCTTCGACTGCCCGACCTTAATCCATCGGCAAATTCGATCAACTATACTTTCCAACCCTTCCTTGCGTGTAAAAATGTATGCAAATTTCCGTTGATATTTATCAGTGTGGGTAACACTCTCGTGGCTCACTCGCAGCCTCCTAGGTATACTTTTTCCTCGACCTGGCGTCCTTTTCACGGGACGACTCCCATTGATAACGGATTTCCGAAAGCGCTGATTTTTATTCCGCGGCCGTTTGAATTGCCAATGACGGGTGCTGTTTCGAGGGGTGGGTTCGGGCTTAAATTATGAGACGGCGAAAGCTCGGGCTTTAACGCTTGCATTTGAATAAATGTTATCCCCCCTTAGCGAGCTCCGCGGCCGTTTGCGGTATACACGTGCCCCTACGTGAGCGTACGTATTCCCGCCATGCCGCCGCCCAGAAATTAGCATAGGGGATTAGTATGGACGTGGTTTTAAGTCGACACGCATGGCCGCCCACCGATAAGACTTTATTAACGCCACGGGTATTTATCCCAACCACCGCTTTGCCGAGGGCGCCTTTAACCTGGACGGACTCGCACGTACGTGGATTCGCCGTTTGAATAAATATTAAGCATCGAGAAAACCACCCTCAAGCGCTCCTCGCAAATCCCCCGCAGGCTGAAACGCAAGTTGCTTTGCGAGTGTTTCAAAATTTCCGCCCTATCCCTCCTTCAAAATTACGGGCTCCCGGGGATGAACGGGAAAAACCGGGATCTAGTTTAGAAACGACGGAGTACACGTAAGATAAATGAAAAATCTATTTCGCGAACCGCGGTTTTTCTATTCCTGGCGCGGAATCGGAAATTCGGAGTACCGAAGAATTTTCCCCGATTATATCGATCGGATATTGAGCAATTATCTGATGCTCGTTATCGCAAGCTCTTTAGGGATCGATCCAGGGAAGTGCCGACGGATGTAGGGAAAATGTTTTAATGTTATTAAAAAATTCTTCGCTCGACGTGCGGCCCTGTGATCGCGTATCCGGAATTATGCGCGGAACGCGGAAACGCGAATCCGGCCGCGGGCGCGCTGCCCGGTGAAATTCGACTACCCTTTATTTAGCCCTTTCTTTCGAACTTTTTTGTTTTTTTTTTTTCGCTCCACCCCCCGCGAAATTTTAATCTCCGATTATCCGGGGCTGCGTGATTTCCGGCGCGAGCTGCAACAGCCAATAGCGCGAAAATTTATACACGAGAGCCAGTGCCGGCTGCTCCGCCGTTACGTGCCCGTTATGATCTCACCGATATCGGGTAATTGGTCGCTTAAATATTGGCCACCATTGCAAACCAGCCACTGCGACTGCAACCCTTTACAACCGGGGCAAATGCCGCATACAATCACTCCTGAGAAGCCGATTCATCGGAAAAGTGTGACATTTCCAAATTTCAATTCGAGCACAACCTCTCATCAAATAATTATTGTTCTACCTTAAGCGATGCTACTTATGAAAAATGATTACACACATCGAAAAGGTCGTAACGATGCACTGGGGAAAAAAATCCATCGAGCTAAAGGAATATTTCTTTGGTTCAACGACAGTTTTTCTTCTTAGGGGGAGGATGTAATAGCATTTTTCAGAAATTATCGGACCGCATTCTGCATCGTGCGTTTCCGAATAATCAATCTCTCGCGCGTGGTCCCCAATTGCAGCGATAATTACTCCTGTAATTACCCGGGCAAGTAACGTATAGATGCAACTCCACTTCTTGTAGCTTATGTATGCGGATTTTGGACAGAAGAGATTTAGGCTAGGCTAGGCTGGGTTCGTTAATCCTTCGTTATCCTTGCGATGTACATTACGCGTTCCGTATTACATAATTATGTATTACATACGGAGGGTTCTCATCCGAGTTCCAAGGTCGGAAAGGAACTGGTGCGGGGATAACTCGGAGGACTTTGAGTTCACCGGCGCGTAGGAATGCGATAATGGACTCTGGTGAAGTTTACGGTCGTTGTAAATAGTAGCCAGACTCCCGACCCTTGTTTTTCCCGTTTCCGGGAGAGGGTTGCTCTCTTTCCCTTCCTCCTGCCCTCTCTCCCGAGCGCGGCCCCTCCGCGGACAAGAGAGACGGCTTAAGGGAGAAGACGTTATGAATTTAATAATTTCCAGGACGAACTTTAGGTCGTTTAGGAGGTAATACTAATTTAAAAGAGATTAGGCTTGTATCCGCCTCTAGACAGGGATACCCGGGATCCAGGAGCACCCCTGAGAGAGCAGCCCTGAGCGCTTTTCGCTACGAACCATTGGGGGTGAGTTTCGGGCAGCGAGCCGCCCGACGAGCGCCTCTTCCCACGGGGGAAGCGGCTTAATTAATTGAACTTAATTTAAATTTAATTTAATTTCATTTAATTTTACCTTCTTCCTCGCAAGCCGCTCGTTGAAGCCGCCTCGAGACGTCGCGACGCCCCTGCGACAAAGCACCCTTAGGTGGTCGGGTCTTTCTTCCCTCCGAGGAAGCTCTTCTGTCACTTTTTGTCTTCGTGTTCAGAAATTCGACAACTAAACCGATATATGGAATACTGTCCCGGACATTTCATACTCGATCGCTCGGTACCTTTAGTCAAGGGGGGATGAAAGTGGCGAAGTGAAAAAAAATTTATTTATCCCGGACGAGAAGCAAAAAACGAATGACCAATTCGCGTCGCCTTAAAACTTCCACTTAGGGAGGGAAAAATTCTCTGCAATTCCCGGGGGAGGTTTCTTGTGCCGACCGACCAATATTCCTCGCCGTTAAAGCCGGGAAGCTCTCGTGCAACTTGGAAGTTTCGATTGAGGAATATTCCCTATGCTTAGGAGGAAAGTGAGAAAATTCCGGCGGAGTGTCTCTCTCGGATGCGGAGGAGGGCCGAAAAAGCGGGAGGCCTCGGAGAGGCACATTTGGCGAAACGAGGAGTTTCGTAAAGTTTTCCAGCATCGAGCACGCGCCCGAATCCATCATCCAAAGTTACCGTACCGCTGGGATAAGGGCCGGAACAGGAAAGGGCGCTTTCGAACCATTGAGAAAAATAGGCTCCCATCCGCCCCACCCACCCACCCACGTCAACCCGCCCGATGGAAGAAAACTTTGAATATTTACAGCTTTTCCTTCCGCTCGCGGGATTTTACCGACGGCGCTGTGCGGTCGTTTCACGCGCCTTTTAAAATTTATTAGCGAATATCGATGAAATCCCGCGAAAAGGAGCAACCGCCGAAGGAGAGGGCTAAGAATGGATCACAAAAGCTCTCGATAGTCATCCGTGGATGATTTTCCCACATTTTCGCGATATTCCCGAAGTTTGATCCACGCGTTTTCCTTGTTGTTTCTACTCCACCCTCCCCGTCGACGTCGCGTCCGGAACCCCGGGGCTCGTTTCCGGTATTCTGCTCGCGTTTGAAGTTTCCGGTGCTTAAAAGCAGAGAGTCCCATTCGAGTTCGTCCTCGGTAGGCTGCGATAACCAGATTACGACGTTAATGTGCGCCATTGTTACGGGACCGAGTCCTGGGGCTGCTCGCTCTTGGTGCGGAGCTCTCCGGGCACACGTGGACCATCCTGGGATACGATAATCAGATTGAGGGCGTTAATGCACGCGTTGAGGTAAAATTTACCGGATGCCACGAGGTGGCCGCTGGCCGACGAGTTTTCCCGACCTTTTTCTCCAATTTCGCTCCACCGATACTCCCGAGGGTCGCGGTAACTCGCATCGGGGGGGGGCACCTAATAAGATGATCGATTATTGAATTAATAGGTAAAAGGCCCCGAGAAAATTCTTTACGAAGAGATATCTCGTTCCAGACTGCGAGGATTCCTGTGCTTCAAGGTACAAGGTAATGCAAGAACGTTGATGCATACAAATACCTAGATAACTTAATCGCCGCGAAAGTACCTTCGATTTTAAAGATTACACGAGGGATGCACCCTGTATGAAAATGAGAAGTATGCCGAGTCTGTACAGGGCGGATAGATATGGTGGAGGAACGCGATTAATCCCATTAAACTAGGTTCGCCTGCAACAAATAAATTTTACGCGTGATTTACGGCTAATCTCTGAGAACACCCTGGTGGAGGGCTGCCATTTTCTCGAAAAAGTTTCTCTCAAAGTCTTATCTGGGAATATTTATGCGGGGAGATGTTGCACCTCCGGGGCAGTTAATAAGCGGAGGACCGTGATTAACTCTCGCTTCAAAGGAGCCAGGTAATGGCCAAATTGAATGGGTTTTACGATAATGCGGTTCTTCAACCATTGCACGTAATGTTTAGAAACGTTCCACCGTGGGAGAAAAAAAAATTCGAGACATATTCGAATTTTCGTGGCAGCTCCGTGATAATCGGCGGATACCCTCCAACCGGTCCGAGTGGAGTCAAGGTGTCTCATTGTCTACGTCTAGAAAGCCGAATAGCTTCTTCTTTTTCCAGGATGCGGTCCTTAACGATGCAGCCAAGTGGCCAAACGAGCCTTTCCAGCGGCTCCTCGAAGAGGCAGTTAATGAGTCGAGGACTGTGGTTCGGGTCGTTATAATAAGTAGCCCGATAGTTTTACGACGACGGATCGTCCGCCCCCCAAGACTTAAAATGTCCTCGCAGACGTTAAGTGACTCCAAGTGGAAGTCAGATAACACTTTACTGCCGTCGTCAACTACCGCCACCCCCAGGACATTCGCTCTCGCGGAATCCTCCCAGAAAGGACGCCTCTGTCTCCCCGGCGTCTGAAATCCCGGAATCGGTCTGCAGATTTCACATTTCCGGCCCCGTCCCGACGCCTCGAGTCTTGGGTCCACGTTCGACCGGAAGGGAGGCATCGAGATATACGAGCTCCCTTTTGCGGACCCGTTTCCGCCCTACCGTCCGCGGAACATCCGCAGGACGCGCCGACTAATACGATCGAGTTCGCGATTAATATGAAACTTCCGCCGCCACCTCCAGCGACGTCTCGCCTCACCGCAGCAATTTCGCATAACGTCTCGCGCATAATCCTACATTTAATACTCGCATCGCTAAACTAAGTGGTTCCCTCGTAGTTTACGCCATTTACTGCGCGGGTAAACTGCCTGCGAGCCCTGTATGCGTTCACGCCGTCCTGTACCCGAATAGGCTACATCCACGCCGGGATACCGTATCCAGCAACGAGCATCGCCGCCAGCTCCAGCAGCATCTGCAATGGCTCCAGCAACGCTTCCACCACCGCCACCACCACCACCCCCTGCAAGTAGCTCGGCTCGAATAGTTTAACTATGTAAATAGTAAACTTTGCCACGCTTCGCCGGTACAAGCCGGCAGGACCTGCGGAAGTCGCGGCGGTTTCGTACCACTTCGCTTTGAACTTCTACATACCTCCCCCTTCGCGTCAACCCCGACAAGTACGAAGAAGTACGAGGACGTTTGACCGGAAAATGGAGGCTTGCTCAAATGCCGCTTTGCGACCTAGGGACTTTGCG